ATTCTGAGACGTCCTTTTTCATGGTGGGCCAATAGTATCCGACCCGTATGAGGCACCTGACGAATGCTCGATTGCCGGAGTGAGCACCGCAATGGCCTTCATGGACTTATTTGAGGACACTCTGGGTTTGGTTTGGGCCCAAAAATTTCGCCAGAGGGCCGCATTATGTCCTCTTGTACAGGTCGCTATAGAGGAGATTGTATGTGGCTGCTTGTATTCTTAGTTTCTTGGCTTCCTTTTTATCATTTGGGAGTGCGTCGTCCTGCAAATAGGTGATAATACGATTGCGCCAATCCCAAGTTAAGCTTACAGATCTTACATCAAGTTGGTTTAGCGATGAGTTGAGGAGGTGGACTACACTTTTATCCCCGGTCGTGATGCTTTTGGTAAACGCGGCCAATTTGGCGAAGCAGTCTACTTTAGCATTCTGCACGCGCGGTATCTGGTCGAGCTGGTATTCGCCGAACTCGAGCAACAGCTTACAGATCTCGGTCTGATATTTTTGCACGTCCTTGCCTAATGTCTCACAACTCTCGTTGATAGCGTTCATGAGGTTGCTAGGGAAATCACCTGTTACTTTAATCATCTCTCCTTGGTTACCTGCCATGTAGGTTTTTGTACGTGCAAAGAAAGAGAAAGATCTTGGGGTTTGTGAGGTTAGTGACTCACATTAATTGTACAAACCAAAGGAAACTAAAAAATTAACTACGAAATTCCCACAGACGACGCCAAACTGTTTGACCAGAAAGATAAATCTTGGTTCAACTAGTTAGATTTAAATAAAGATGAGTCAATCTTTGCTAATAATAATATCTTGACAAAGTTATTAGTTTTATGACAAATAACTTGTATGTTTGTCTGGATGACAATGAATGTAAGCAATAATAACAATGTTCAATGATAAAAAAAAGATAGGATATGCCATTAAATAATAACAAGTAGTAATAAATGACATTTAAGTAAATAGAAACGTGTGAGTCACCCGAAAAAGTGTGAGATCTGTGAATATTCTCTCTCACAATGATGAATAATTGATAAGTTGTTACACCCCGTACTTCAGATGTCACTATCATTATAGGATTATTTAATATAAGCTCAAAAAGGGCGAAATCCTTTTACACGGATAAGAAAGGTTTACCGAAGTTTTAAGTAAGTTAAGATGATTATGAGACTTATTAATCATGATTTAAATGATTTTAAAGTCATAATATGTCTACATATGATGTTTGGAAAAAAATCAGATTAAAGTTGCGGAAACACCGACTAAGGATTTGCCCTGTAACAGAGCTTTTTGAGAAATATATTTCATGTGTTATATGAGGTATTTTTGAGACATATTATATACCAAATTGAACGTCTTGGAATGTAGTTTCCAACGCTCTTAACTGTTCATTCATACGATATCCGGATAAAAAGATATAAGCGTCGGAAAATGGGCAAATCAGAGGGTGCCAAGCTAGTACCTTTTGACTTTTCAAAAGTTGTTATATTGTTTTAACTCGTCTCTCTCTCTCTCTCTCTCTCTCTCTCTCTCTCTCTCTCTTCAGTTTTGCACATAATCTGACCAGAGAACTCCATAAAAAATGGTCCTTGAGTTCTCTACAAGAGCTTCAAATAATACTAACATCCCGGGCATAAAATCGAGAAGCGATAACATCAGAACGATCCCTACGACGTAAGTATCGCTATATCGCCTCTCTTTTTCTTTGTAGTTTGAGTTTTGGAATGTATTTAATAGTTAATAAAAATTCCTAATTTATGTATTTAAGCTTTAGAATATCAAGAAAAGTTGATAAATTCATTTCCTAAAAGGTTAGACCTCACGGGACGGTGATCGGAAGCCGTGAGTTCGAGTTATTTGACTTATAGTGGACAGTTTTGTGGGCTGTTTCGTGTTGCTCTTGGGATGTCTATTGTGCTGCTGATTTATGGAGTTTGGAAGGATAAAAAGGGCGTGGAGAAACGCCACATGTGGTA